CCTTGAAATTGGCAGTGTTTTCATAGATATTACATATAAAGCATAAGCAACCAAATTAATAGTCAAATTAATGGTAGATAAATTAGACATTCACAATTAGCATCTTTTGTGCTTCAAAAAACATTAAGAAAGTGAAAAGAGGACCCAGCAGATGGTATAATGGTTATATTGCTGGACTCCCATGTAGTTGACTGCTGTTCAATTCCTGGATCCAGCCACTTAAAACACACCAAGTGTGTGTGCATATGTTACCAAGATCCCAAGAGGAGAAGGGAGGAGAAGGGATAGCAGCATGACCATCCCCCTGGGGGGTGATTTTTCGCTTTCTGTCTGTCTCTCTCTCTCTCTCTGGCGAGCATACACACCCTATACCAAAAATTCCTCTCAGAAAAAAAGAAAGTGATAAGATAGTCTGGGTAGGTGGCATGGTGGTTGGAGCGTCTTGATCTCATATGGCCAACTGAACAGTTTGAGTCCTAGACTCAGCAGATTGGAAAACATGTCAAGCACATATGTGTGCATGCTTGGAATCATGAGAAGAGAGTGGAGGAGTGCGGCCGTACTCTCTGGGGTGTACTTTTTCACTTTCCCACTCTCACTCTCCTCCTTTCTCTCTAGTGAGCACATGTGCCCTATAGCAAAAAAATAAAAATAAAAATAAGTGAAAAGGCCAGCTAGTAATGCTGTGGTTGAGGTGGCTGGATCCCACATGACCAGTGGCATGGTTGAGTCCCAGACCTGGTGGTTTGGAAAGCACACCAGGCGTGTGTGCCTACATGCCCAAAATCCTGGGAGAAGGAATTGAGGTGTGGCCCTCCCCCTGGAGTATGCTTTCTCACTTTCCCTTTCTCTCTGTCTCTCTCCAGCAAGCATACATGCCCTATAGCAAACTTTTAAAATTAATTAATTTTAAAACTAAATAATAGTCAAAAGACAACTCATACAATGGGAGAACATTTTTCTTTTGAGTGAAAGGGAAAGAACATTTTTTCAAACCTTGTATTTAATAAGGGACTTAAACCTAGATTGTATAAGGAACTCCCATAGCTCAGTAATAAAAAGATAATTCATTTCAAAATATGAACAAAGGATCTGAATAGGTGTTTCTCCAGAGAAGATATACAGATAGCTAATAAGTGCATGAAGAGGTACTCAACATCATTAGCCATCATGGAGATCCAAATCAAATGAACAATGAGATACCACTTCACACTCACTAGGATGGATATTATCAAAAAGACAGATAATAATAAGTGTTGAAAGAAAACAGAAAATAACAAGTGTTAATAGTGTTGGAAAGAAGGTGGAGAAATTGGAACCCTTGTTCACTGCTGGTAGATATGTATAATAAATTGTGTGACCACTTTGGAAAATAGCCTGACAGATCCTCAAAGGCTAAACAGAGGTACCAAGTAGCCCAGAAATTCTGCTCCTAAGTATTCACCAAGAGAGATGAAAACATATGTTTATCTAAAAACTTGTTTGTGAATATTTATTGCAGCATTCCTAACAGCCAAAATATGGAAACAACTAAAATGTCCATAAGCTGATGAATGAACAAAAAGATTTTGGTATATTTATGTAATAGACTATTATTTGGCAATAAAAACTGAAATGCTGGTACTGCTACATTGTGGATAACTCTTGAAACCATCCAGCTAAGTGAAAGGAGCAGTCTAAACAACTACATACTCTGAGTCTATTTACTATGACAGTGTCTTAGAATGACAGTTTCAGGAAAGTCATTTCGTGATTGTCTAGGGCTGAGAGAGTTGGTAGATAGATTTGGGGGAGTGACTGCTAATGAGTACAAAGTTTCTTTTTGAGATGATGAAATGTTTTGAAATTTATTATATTGGCTGCCCAACTGTGAATATACTAAAAGCCACTGCATTGTGGTTGGTTAAATGGGTAAATTGTATAGTATGTGAATTGTAGCTCAAAGCTGCTTTTTTGAAATAAAGTGAGTATGCTCCAGAATGGAGTAGAGTGCAGAGATATGCAGAGTGGCGACCACTTTAATCAGTGTTGTAAGTAGAGCTGCTGAGCTTTGGAGGAAAGGGCAGGCCTCTCTGGAGCTAGTTTTCTTACCTCATCCTCGGGAATGACCTTGATGCTAAGCTCTGACTCTTGCTCTGTATTTCTTGAAAACATTTATCCCAGAGTTTGTCAGGCCTGTGCAAGCCAGGCACCAAAAGTTGGCAGTGACATGGAAAAGGGTGCAAACTGCTTGTGTCTCCCTCTGCACAGGGGCTTGTGCACCTGGGCCTTCCATAGACATCCTCTCCTGCAGTCCTAGAGCCCCGTGAGCTTGGTGAAGTGAGGACACAGGCTTACGAGGTCACAAAGCAAATGCAGCAGAAGCAGCATTCTGCAGGATAGTTCTTCTGATTGTTGTCACAAATTGAGCTGTCCCCGGAGCTGGACCAAGCATGAAAATGAGTAATCATGGTTTTTCTCCCAAGGTGCGGGAATATGTATGTGAATAAATAGAATCTTCTCAATTAGATTTTCTCCAGGAAATTTTTCGTAGGTCTTTGGCCACTGCCACCTTAATTGCCATTAAGAGCTTGCAGATGGAAAAAAAAGAAAAGTAGCAAGCAGACATTAGTGGGGAGGGGGGGAATTAATTAATTAATTAATTAAAATAAAAATCCAGAGTTAGTTATTTCTGTTTACCACATATATTGCTTATACATGTTGGCATTGTTCTTAGCACCTTCACTGTATTCATTCTTTTAATCTTGGCACCATTAAGAGATAAATTGATTGTTTTACAAAGGAGGGTGGGTACTGAAGCACAAGAGAGGTCAGCAGTGACCTAAGGCCACAGTCCGGCTCCTGGGTCTGTGCACTGTCTCTCAGTCATGCTTTATTCCAGGGTTGTGGTTTTATTTTAGTGATGATTGGTTTGCTTTTTAGAGTTTTGCCACCGGGCTCATGCTTTTGCCAGAGAGAAACAGAGAAAGAAGGGGAGAATGAGAAATCACCCCTTCCCCCGCCCCAGGAGGGGAGGTGGATGGCCACACCACAATTCCTTCTCCTGAACTCTCTTCTCAGGGTTTTAGACATGCATTTACATGCACCCTGCATGATTTTCAAACTTCCGAATCCAGGACTTGAACTGCATTGTTAGCCATGTGGGATCCAGCACTTTAACCACTATGCCACCTGTGCTGGCTCATAGTTGATTAGTTTTATACTAATAACATGACTGAAAAAAATTAGTTCCAAGTCTGTAGGGCGAAGGCAGTTAGGTTCTTAACGTTATGGCACTCGTGGAAATGCCCCTGTCTTCTGAATGTATCTGATAACAACTCCTCTACCACACAGTTTCGGCCTTTGCAAAAGGCTCTAGGGCATCAATTCCAGTAGGAGCTTGAAAGGACCTTAGCAGGTAATGGCATCCTTTTATGTTAAAGACAAGGAGCCTGAGGGGAAATGACTCTCTTAAGGTCACCCAGTCACTGTTGGCTCTGACCATTGCCTTGTTCAAATCATAGAAACCTGATAATGACTGAGGCACCCTAAGATCAGGCGCTGGGCTCTTCATGTATCCCCTTTTGGTCTTCACAGTAATCCTAGCCTCTGCTGGAGTAGTCAGAGCAAGCTAAGTCCTAAGGAGAAGGTGGCTGGCCCAGCACTGCACCACCAGTGAGTCGTAATGCCATTGAGTCTTCACCACCTACCTCTGCCTTCCTGGGAGTGATGCCTCTGGTGTTTTGTTAATTGGGTAGTAGAGTAAATAAGAGGAGTTTCTCAAGTACAAAGTATAATGCCTAACATAGATCACATTTCTCCTAAGTATGACTTACCTACTGTCATTAGTCATGATGCGATTAGGAAGTGAAAATCTGCTAGGAGAGAACATGTTCAACTCTATCACTGGTGTCCATTGTGATTCATAGGCTACTTTAGAGGGTTAGCTCTTAAAATTTTAGACAACTTGGGGAACCAGCAGTTAGCATAATGGCTATGTCGCTGCACTCCCATGTAGTCGACGGTGGTTTGAGTCCTGGACCTGGTGTCTTAAACTCACGCCAGGCGTGTGTGCGTGTGCGTGTGTGCCCAAGATCCCAAGAGGAAAATGGAGGAGAAGGGATTGTGGCATGGCCATCCCCCCTGGGAGTGATTTCTCGCTTTCGATCTCTCTATCTCTGTCTTTCTAGCGAGTGCACGCGCCCTATAGAAAAAAAAAACTCTCAAAAAAAAAAAAAAGAAAGAACTTCAGACAACTCTTTTTTGAAAATTGGGAGAAGGTTGTGCAGATCTTCAGATAGATTTCTCTCGGGTTTTCAGCAGTATCCTTTTACAAAACCTAGGCAGAAGAACTAAGTGTGTCATTTGCCACTTAAAGAGAGCTACTCAATTTTCTCTCAGACATCTATCTGCTTAGGAACTTTCCAGGGAGTCTCGTTGGTGACAGGAGAAAGTAAAGTGAAAGGGGATGGATGACTATATTGACTATTTCAGAGTATTCGCCTTTGTGAAGTCGATGACACAGAGTAGAACTAGAGAGTCCAGTTTTCTGAGTTTCTTTTTAAATTGCCAGAGAGTGTGTGTGCTCACCAGAGAGAGACAGACAGAGGTGGAAGGAGGTAAGGGAAGAAAGCACTCCCCCCTCCTGCAGTGGGGTGTTTTTGTACCACAATCCCGTCTTCTCCCATCGCTCCATCCTGTTTGGATTTGGGGCTCGCACACACATGTACCCAGCTTGTTTCTTTTGCCACCATGGCTGGGACTTGAACCACAGTTGACCATGTGGGATCTGGCTCCTCCCAACTACTAGGCCATGGGAATTTTCCATTTTTCTAAGTTTCTAAGCTTGTTTGACTCCTAGGGGTTTGGAGGGATGTTTTTACAGCTTTCAGAGTCTGTTGCAGGCTTAGGGCCTAGTCTCATGGTTCTTCTACCTCAGGCTTATTCAGAGCAGATTTGAGGAGCAGAAAGTATTTCCTCATAAGCTGTGACTCAACCTTCTCTCCCGGTGGCTGTGTCAGCCTCCATTGTGTTCCCTCCTCCAGGGGCTTCTGAGGAGAATGGCCTGCCTCACACTTCAACTAGGACCCAGCTGCCCCAGTCAATGAAGATTATGCATGAGATCATGTACAAACTGGAAGTGCTCTATGTTCTCTGCGTGCTGCTGATGGGGCGTCAGCGAAACCAGGTGGGCCCTCCCCAGCGTCTCAGAACAGGGAGCCGGGAGCAGATGCTGCCTTGGTGCGCGTAGTATGCCAAGTGCTCCGCTGGGCCTTTTCTGTCACTCTGGCCCAGCAAAGCATAGGGGCGATTTTCCTTCTCCCTGTTTTACACATGACTCCAGCGCTCAGTCTCTTCATGGTACCTTGCTGTGGACAGCATTTCTAGGCAGCTCTGGCACACAGGCCAGTCGCAGGCAGCTCACCTCCGCAGTGTGAAGAATAACGGTTGATGATTGGCAAGACTGTCCTTGTAGGTGGGTGGAGGCATTGTCTACTCGATGTGGGCTCAGGGCAGTGGGGCAGAGTGTAGGGATATGTCCCCTTAGGAAAGCTGGGCATGTACAGAGGGCTCCAGGTATGCTGGGATTCCCTGAGCCTTGAAGCAATTCCAGGAGGGAGGAGCCAGAGCCTCTCCACACCCTGTGGGGGAGAGGACTCTGCAAGTACGCAGCAGTCCTTGAGACAGGTGAGCCAGAGCCCCTCCTGTTGACTACATCGTTGTTTTCCTGGGGATGGGAGCCGGGGTAGGTCCTAGGCATGGGAGGAAGAGGGACATCCAGTGGGGCTAGGAGCTCAGCAGTCTTGATTTACCTTTCTGGGCCAGACACTAGAGAGTTGCAACAACTCCAGGTGACAGAGGCGCAGTCGTCTCCATTTCACATGTAAGGCACAATGTCAGATAGGGCATCCAGTAAAAAAGGCTCACTGTAAAGATGACGTTGGGTATGACAATGTCCTGAAGAGCGTGAGGAAGCCAGACCTGCCAAGGTCTGAGGCAGCCTGTACCCCTACCAGATTGAGGAAATGTCACCTCAAGGTGGGTGTGTGCTTTGTGGGTTGGTGGGACAGTGAGGAAGGTTGGCTGAATAGACTTGAAAAAGCAGCAAGAGAAGGAGGGCCAGTGGGCCACGGGCCAGATCGCAGCAGCTGTCACTGCCATTTTAAAGACTGGTCTTTGGGGCCGGCAAGTGGTGCTCTGGACTCCCACATGGCCGATCGTGGTTCAAGTCCCAGAGCTGGCAACTTGATTTCTCATCTTCTCTCTTTATCTCTCTTTCTCCGACTCTTACTTTGTTCCTCTCTGGTCAAATTAAAATAAAGTTAAATAAAATAGTTCTTTTTTAAAAAGATCTTAAATAAAGACTGATTTTTACTCCGAGTGAAGTGAGAAGTAGTCCCTCTGGCCCCTGGGCAAAAGGCTGGAGACAACAAAGGTGGGAGCAGAGAGACCCACCCAGGGCCCTTGTAATCAAGCCAGAGACGATGGTAGCAAAGACCAGCATGATGATGGTGGTAGGACTGGTGGAAGTGGTTGTGTTCTGGATATATTTAGGAGATAGACAGGATTTGCTGCTGGTTTTATGTGGATATGAGAAAGGGAGGAGGAGATAAAGATGATTCTCAGTGTTTTGTTTTGTTTTGAAGTTTTGCTATAGGGTGTATGCACTCACTCGAGAGAGACATACAGAAAAGGAAAATGAGAAATCACCCTTCAGGGCTGGGGTGGCCACACTACGATCGCTTCTCCATTCTCCTCTCAGGATCTGGGGTACACATGCATATACACCTGGCATGATTTTCAAGTGCTGGGTCCAGGATATGAACCGCAGGGTCAGCCACATGGGGTGCACCTACCTTAACCTCCACACCACTTGCTGGCCCTGACTCCCAGGGTTTTTTACCTCAGCCAGCAGGAGGGTGGATTTGCTATTTGTTGAGATTTTAAGACGTGACTGAGGAGTGGAGGGCCAGGCTTAGGGAGGAAGACTAGTTTAGTTTTGAACAAGGTAGGTTTGAGAGAGTGCCTTTTAGAAATGTTGCTTGGATTACCTGCAGCTAGTTAGGGAGAAGTTGGGCTGGCGTAACTTGGGAGACCTCCATGTGTGATTAGTATTTCAAAACGGAACCCTGGAGGAGATGCCACGCTAACTTTCACAGTGTCGGTGCTCCCGCCCTTCAGTATAGAACCTTACAGGAAATAGGAGTAGCTGGAATGGCTTGCATGTGCTGAGTCATTTTTCTTTGCTGAGGCATTTCCACAGTTATCCATATTTGAATTTGGATTTGAAGGTTATCCCCATGGGCAGTGACCCCTCTCCCCACACTCAGTGCCAAGAAAACCAGGGTACAAGATGGGTCTTGCTCCCAGTGACCAGCACTGGACAAGCCAGGATTGAAACTGGCCTCTCCCTCTACCTCCTCACCACAGCAGTTCCCTGTCCCTAGAGTCTTCCTGTGGCCACATTGCTGAGTCATTGTAGTGTTTAGTTAAACTGTGTGACTGTAGTGCTGTTTCCTTGGGCGGGACCATCAGTGATCTTATATCCCTGCCCTACTGAGAACCAGTGTTTTACTAGCACGTTCTCATCTGCACAGCCAGCCTTTCTGCTGTGTGCTGGGCTCTGTGGAGACGGATCCTGCCTAGACTGGGTAACAAGAGGAAAGGTTTCCTTGGCTAGACCCCACAGAAGCATTCCTCCTTGATGTGGACTTTTTATTTTTTAAAGAGATTTTTGCTAGAGGGCACATGTGCTGCTAGAGAAACAGAGAGACAGAAAGTGAGAAATCACCTCCCATGAGGATGGCCACACCACAGTCCCTTCTCCATTCTCCTGTCAGGATTTTGGGCACACAGGCTCACACGCCCAGCATGAGTTTCAAGGCTCCAGGTTCAGGACTTGAACCACAGTTGAGCATGTGGGAGTCCAGTGATGTAACCATTATGCCATCTGCTGATCCCAGAAGTGGCCTTCTTATTAATGTACAGTTAGCCAGGTTTTTTGACTAGTCTTGGCTAAATTAAAATCATAAGACTGGGAATACTCCCCAAATACTGTAAGTTTCATCCTTTGGTGCTAAAGAAAATAATAAATATACCAGCCTTTTTTTTTTTTTTCGTGTGTGTGTGTGTGTGTATGTGTGTGTTCAGTGCCCTGAGTTTCTTCCACATTACCTCATTGGTCCTTTTCAACAGCTCCGTTATTCCTTATTTTCCACCAAAGGACTCATGCTCAAAGGAGACTTGCCCAGGGTCTCAGAGGTAGTTTGTGGACCCAGGGCAGCCTGGCTCCAAAGCTCTTAGCACCAGCCTCTGTGGTTGGGTGGTCCTCGGTGCTGCCACTGGCCTGCTTCCCACCAGCCCCCCCAAGAGTGGGCCAAGGATTGCGTCTGAGGTAGGGATGATGCATTTGACCAGTCCAGTTTGTCCTGCATGTGAAGAAGCTGGTATTTTCTAGAGGAAAAAAAGTTACTAAATAGAAACCTCAAACCTAAGCATTGGCCTAGACTTCAGGAGACTTGGGGTCAGGTCCAAGCCTACTTCCGAAAGCCCTTCTTTTTCAGCTACATGACTCTTGCCTAATTTCTTTGAGTCTGAATTTCTCTTCTACAGAGTGAGGTAATTGGACTGGACAAAGTTTCAGAGTCATTGGTGTCACCTTTTTGTAACTGTAACGGGGATAGGGCTTAGGGTTCCCTGGAGTAAGTTAGGAAGGTACACAGCTTGGAGACTGCCAAAGGTGTCGGCCCCTCCTCCCCTCCCCCAGGTAAGTAGCACAAGGCTGGGAGCCAACATCATGTCACGTCAGCCCTCAGTCTGACAGATTCTGAGGTATTTCTGTATCTAACAGTGGCAGAAGCTAAGACTTCTGTGTCTAAAGAAGAAGTCCTTGGGAATGGAGGCTGTAGGGGTTGTCAGGTCAGGTCTCCCAAGATGAATGCATGGTGGGCTGGGCAGGGGCAGACTCCAGGATCAGAACCCCTGAGTTGGAGAGTTTCCGTCCCTCACCTTGCCTGGGCTGGTCTTGGCCAAACCTTCATCCCTCTTGCAGAATGGCAGCGGTTGAGCACTGTGCTGTGTCCAGGGCCTTACCTAGGTTTTCTGACTGTACAGTAGCCCTGAGAAGTGATAGTAACACCTTTGTTATGCTATATCAAAAGTTCTTAATAGATAAATAATTCCCATTGTCCTATTTAAAAGATATGTATTACTGGGAACAGCAGTTGGGGTAGTGGCTATGTCACTGGACTTCCATGTAGTCAACCACGGTTTGAATCCTGGACCCGGTGGCTTAAACTCATACTGGGCGTGTGTACATGCCTGCCCAAGATCCCGAGCAGAGAATGGAGGAGAAGGGATTGCAGCATGGCCATCCTCCCTGGGGGGTGATTTCTCACTTTCTCTCTCTCTCGCTCTGTCTTTCTGGCAAGCACACGTGCCCCATAGCAAAAACCTCTCCAAAAAAAAAAAAAAAAAGATAAGTATTAGTGTCAATAAAACCTATCTCCCTTCTGATCCTGAACTTTCTGATTCTTCTTGAAGCAGCTACTTTTACTAGTTATTAGTGTATCCTTCTGGAGAAATCTTATGCTTGTAAAAGCAAATATGTTCCTCTCTTTCCTTGCACAATCAGAAATATAGTGTGTATATATTTTCCTGCTTAATATATTTTAGCAGTTGTTCACTGGTGCTTTATATCCCACTGACTGAATGTACCACAATTATTTTAAAAGTCCCCATTGATGCCAGTATAGGTTATGTCTTTCTTTTGGTAGGAAATATAATGCTACAGTGTTTAATATAAATATGTAACTTAGTATTTATGTGGATCTGTATGTATATAGGTTTGTTTACAGAGAATATCTATTTCCTAAGAGTGGAAAATAAATGTCTTGGGAGTTTAACTGCTGGTCAAAGCGCATGTGGATTTATAACTTTTAGCGATATTGCCAAGCTGTCCTCCCTGTGCAGCTAGTACCATCTGCCCTCCTGCCAGCAGTGGGAGTACGTATGGACCGAGGCACCAGTTTAGTGTTATAAAACTGTCACCTTCGCCAATCTGAAAATTATAAAACCTATTGGAATTTGAATTTTCCTCAGTATGTAGTGAGGTTGTGCTCTTCTTATATATTTTTAAAACTTTGGGGACCAACAGATGACACAATGGTTACACCAGTGGACTCCCATGGAGGACAATGGAGGAGAAGGGATTGCAGCATGGCCACCTTCCCTGAAGGGTGATTTCTCGCTTTCTGTCTCTCTGTCTCTCTGTCTTTCTGGCAAGCACACGCGCCCTATAACAAAAACCTCTCCAAAAATAAGTATGTTTGTGTATGGCAGGAGGTAGGGTATGCGTGGGTGTTTTCTTTTACCCTCAACAGTTCATGCTAGCTGTTGCTTTGTCTTAATACTGTTATTGTACATGGCTGAGCTTAAGAATTTCTAGATCTGAGACCACAGTTGGCGTAATGGCTATGTCGCTAGACTCCCATATAGTTGACCACAGTTTGAGACCCGGACCCGATGGCTTAAACTCAGACCAGGCGTGTGTGTGTGTGTGCCCAAGATCCCAAGAGGACAATGGAGGAGAAGGGATTGCAGTGTGGCCATCCCCCCTGGGGGCTGATTTCTCACTTTCTGTCTTTCTGGCGAGCACATGTGCCCTATAGCAAAATCCTCTCAAAGAAAGAATTTCTAGATCTTCAGTCATTTGTCTTAATGTGCTTCCTTTCCTGATCATCCAGGTTCACAGAATGATTGCAGAGTTCAAGCTGATCCCTGGACTCAATAACTTATTTGACAAGCTGATTTGGAGGAAGCATTCAGCATCTGCTCTTGTCCTCCATGGTCACAACCAGAATTGTGACTGCAGCCCGGTAAGCAAGGACCCTGAGAAGAGATGGGGCTTCGCTTGTTAGAAGTGGTTGTTTCAAGACCTGCTTCTGACCTGTTGACTTCTCATTCTTTGAGATTAGAGCAGAAACTAAAAGCCATATTTTATAATCCCAGAATTGGAAGCTCTCTTGAGGACAGAGCTGAGCCAACCCCCCTACTTCTGCAGAAGTTCCTTTTAAGGTGTCCCTGCTGGGGCTCTCCAGCCAGCTTCCTCTTGTACTTCTCTGGGATGGGGATCTCACTTCTCTCCAAGTAAGGCCACCCACTCCATCATGTAGCAGCAAGTTTTTACCCAATTGTAAATTACCTCCACTGACGATGGGTTTACCTTCTAAAACTATGTTGAATTTTAGTCTGCTCAGTCTGAGATTTGAACCACAGAGCTGGCCATGTGGGATCCAGCCTCCTCAACCCCTGCACCACCTGCTGACCTAGGATGCTTTGGTTTTTTGAAGCCAGAGACTCACCTCTACCACTGTGTCTGTTACAGTGCCCCAGAAAACACTGAACTGAGAATTAGGAGGCCTGTTGTGCCACTCAGTCTGTCGCAAGAGCTTGAATGAGCCACTGCATCTCTGAGCTGTTTTCCTGCAAGAGGAGGATAAGACTCCTGTGCCTGCTCACCTGCTAGGCCAGGTGGAGATGCACCACCAGCATGAGGTGGAAAGCTCTGGGACCTGAAAGCAGCACAGTGGCTGCTTCTCCCGATCTCTGTGCTAGGTCCTAGGGGCTTGGCTCAGTACCCTATCTTCCAGTTTACCAATTTTCTCTTTGCCCTTATAGGATTAGCCTTTCAGCCCAAGTTAATACATTTTGCATTTATAGGTATTCTGTCTGGGGCTTTTCAGACACTGCTTGGGCTTGTTCATCCAGTTAATGCCTTGTCTTCTGTTGCATGCTGTCTCTTGATCATTTGTGACAGACCATCTTACTGTCTCTTTCAGTTGCTTGTGGGGTACTAACTAAGGCTTGTGTTTGGGTCTTCAGTCCCTTAGGGTAGAGTGTCGCCTCATGTTTTGTCACATTTATGGAGAGGCTACCTGCAGTGGGACTTTTTTCCTGTGCATGTCTGGGTAGCCTCAGCCCTGCAAGTATTCCTACCATGTACCTTTGCTTTGATCTGCCTTCCACCTGTCAGCAGTGTCTGGGAAGAGCCAGGCTTCTTTACTTACTCCCTGGGCCAATAGGTCTTTCTAACTCTCCTCACATGCTCCCAAGCCTGACCCAGGCCCAACACTCTGTCCTGTCCTTGCACAGTGTGACAACCCAGCTCTGATCAGATGGGTCCCATGCAGCTCCCACACCACCCACCTCTGCCGAGAGCAGCTTTTGGACTCACTGCTCTGAAATCAGTCCTCTATTCCTGTCTGAGTCCCACAGATGTTCCTTCCTTCCTTATGAACTTAGCCTTGGGAATGTGTGACCGTGGTTTTAACATTGAGAATACGTGTGTTTTAGGACATCACCTTGAAGATACAGTTTTTGAGGCTTCTCCAGAGTTTCAGTGACCACCACGAGTAAGTACAAGCTTTTCTCTGCATGGAGGGCTGCTGGGCCGTTCTCCCAAGGCCTCCTCTCCTTGGGTCACTGAGCTCAGCTCAGAAAGAAGACCTGGGAGCTGGTAAAGATCACTGTCACTGTGTTACCAAGTGTCTGCACCACCGTGACTATGTATAAGAGCTGTCATTGTTCAGCCTTTCTTGTTGCCCAACTGGGCTTTGCCTCAGCCCTTGCAGCACCCTGAGAAGTAAGTACAGGAGTCATTGGCTCCTTATTACCTTGTGATCAGTGCATCTCTCCACTGACTCTCCCTCTGAACCAGGAGGGGATAGCTTGGCTATTCATGGGGTCAGCCAGGGATGCTCAGGGACTCTTTTCTGCAAAAGTAACTCATCAGCTGAAACCTGAGGGTGATTGGTAGTAATAAATTGAAATTGGATGTGAAGGCAGTGTGAGAGAGTGAGCATTCTAGCCAGAAGCCCTAGTGTGCACAGAAGCCCCTGCAAGAGGGAGCATGGAGTGCATAAGAAAACCAGTGTGGCCACATGATCTGAGCTAATGGGGGCTTGGCTCAGGGCAAGGCTGCAAAGGTGGTTGGTGGCCTGGCCACAGGGCCCTATGGGTCATGTTCACAGGTTTGACTTTTACCTGTTCTGAAAGCACTGGGAAACTGGAAGCACCTGAAACAAGAATGACAGGGTCCTAGTTCTGTTTCTGAAGATCACTCTGGGCATGGTGTGACCTAGGTCAGGACTTGTTCAGGACTCAGCTGGAACTGAATCTGGACAGGGATTCCTCTGGTCCCCACCCTTTGGGCACAGATTAGCCCATCTGGTACAATCTGTGTTCCCATTCCTGTGGGAGCTATTTAGGAAGCAGGTGCCAGAGCCGATAGGCTTGGATGAGAAGGGGGAGTGGGAGTGTCATAGCTGACCAGGCTACAGTAGGACCAGGCTAGAGGAGGAAAAGCACAAGTGAGATTGGATATGCCCAGTGCAAGGGCCCTTGAGAAACCAAGTAGTAAGCGACAGAAGGCCAGACATGAAGAGAAGGGACCTTCTTGATGAGTGTGGCAGGCAGGGACTGGGACTTGGGCCAGGGAGAGACTCTACACCTGAGCCCAGTGTGTCCTCCTTCAGGAGTGGGAGGGACTGGTGAATTCTCTGTCCACAGGATGTGGGCAGGAGATACTGTGCACTAAGTTGGGGCTGACCATAGCCCCAGCTACTTCCTTTACCCCAACCCATCCTTTCAGGAACAAATACCTGCTGCTCAACAACCAGGAGCTAAACGAGCTCAGTGCTATCTCTCTCAGGGCCAACATCCCTGAGGTGGAGGCCGTCCTCAACACTGACAGGTGAGTGGGGCTGGACCACAGCCTGGTTGCCTGCCTACCCCGGGCCTCAGAGAGACACCCATGGGGTACACAACTGTCTTTCCTCAGGACACCTAGTGTCTCAAAGGCTCCTTATTGCCAGGCACTGTGCTCAAGTCCCTTGTGTTCTCCCATTGGGCATTTACTGGGAAAAAGCCCTGAAAGTGAAGTGCTGCCATCACCTGCACTTCCCAGATGAAGGAGCAGAGACTCAGAGATCATGTGCTGAAGGTCTCTGCTCTGTGCCTTCCCAGTCACGAGCAGACGGCGCCCTTGCCGATGGCTCCTTTCTTGCCCAGTGGCAGCTGCAGCCAACCAGATGCAACAGACGCAGGCCCCTCACCCTGTGCCAAGAGTTAAGTCCTGCCCTTAGACTGTGTGGGCCTCATCTGCAGCAGGACAGTGAATGGCAGGCCCTTGGAGGCAGGATAAGTGAACAGGATCCAGCAACAGGAGCCATCATTCCCAGCGTTTATATTAAGGCAGCAGAACTCTTTGTTCAAATGAAATTATACAGTGTCATGTCTAGAGTGGGCAAAAGTGGAGCTGCTCTATTTGAAGAGGTAGTATGGAGTAGAGGGCCCAGGCCCCTGCTGCGAGGACAGTTTCCTTCCCCCACGGTGAGACCTGAGTCATTTCCTCATCCACTACCTTTGTTTCACAAACCAGGAAGCCGAGGTCAAGTACTTGTCCAAGACCTAGCTGGATCTGAACCCCTGGGCATGGAGTCCCCTATTGGCACACACTGGCCCATGTGGCATGCTGTCGTGGCCTATTTCAAACCCACTTTGCTATAAACAGCCTGTCCTCTGGTGGTTCTCAGCCCTGGCTGACTCTGGACGTGGGTCTGGCCCGTGGCTTTGGGAAAAGAGATCTATCCCGAGGTGCAGCGGGGATGCACTTGGCTGGCCATGCAGTTCTGTGACTGCAGGATTCTCTGGGGGCTCTGGGCCTGGGTGGAACAGGAGGGCTTCCTGCAGATTTGGCAATGTCCCCATGGTTTTTCAGCCACCTGAGCCAACAAAGTGATCCCAGCCTCTCAGGTCGGCCGCCAGTGTTGCTGTCCTTTATTTCAGGAGTTTGGTGTGTGATGGGAAGAGGGGCTTATTAACCCGTCTGCTACAGGTCATGAAGAAGGAGCCAGCTGAGTCATCTTTCAGGTGGGTCTGGGGACAGGTATCTGCCCCTCTGAGGGGCCTGGATGCCAGTGTTTCTCCTTTAGTGTTCACCCAAGTGACTTGCTGTCAGGCAGGGGTGGTCTGCCTGCCCTCTCACCCTTGTGGTGGCTTCTGCATGGCAGCAGTGCGTTTGAAGAGCTGCCCGAGCATGCACCAAGCGCTAGTGTGTGCTGATGCTTGTCAGGCAGAAGAGAAATAGGTCAGGCCTTGCCCACATGGAGCTCCCTGGGGTTGTGGGAAACAGGCATGAGAAACTGGTTTCAGGGCAGTGTGGAAAGGAGTGGAGCCAGGGTCTGCCCAGGAGCAATGGGAGCAAAGGCGAGCCTCATCCCTTCCCACTGGGGCTGGTGGGGTGGGTGTAGCTGAGAGGCCACCTCAGAGATCCTTAGACACATCTGTGAAGAGTCTCGAAAGCAGTGGAAAGGAGAAATTCCATCAGGACTGGGTGGGAGCTGTCAGTGGGCTCAATGCCCACGAAAGGCCCTTGTCACCTCATTCTGATTTATCCACACTCCCTGTTGTGGATCCCCACTGTGCCCTCTGGGCTACTGAGTCCATATCAGCCACCTCTTTTCTAGACCAGCCCATCACATGTGAGTCAGGCCATCCACATGTGACCAAAAGCTTCCCACCCATGTTTCTGGCCCCTCTTCCATTTTTCTGAATGGGAAGAGCTCCAATGGGCTTTCCCTGTGGACTTGTTGGAGCCAGCCCTTTGTTCCCGGATGCCACCTTTTCTGTGACACAACCCTGTCTAGATAGACCCAAACAGAAGACTGTTCCCCACAGAGCTGTCAACTCAAGGACCGGGGAGCCCATTGTTTTCTGCTATGTTCTTAGGGCCCGGGATAAGGCTGGTGCCTCACAGATGTTCAGTAAATGTCCCTTGGGAAATTGAGCATGGGCCAGAAGAGGGCAGCCTTAGCCACCTGGGCCAGGGATCAACATTTGGGTCACAGGTTCTGGCAAGCCCGGGCTGTGGAGAGTTTCCTCCGAGGGACCACCTCCTATGCAGACCAGATGTTCCTGCT